GAGCTTCCAATGACCGATTTTGCCACTGGACGCAGATCTTATCTTTGGAGACAACACTGAGTGGACTTGAACTACCAACCGTTTGATTAGCCAGCTATTAGAGTCCAACAAATTAAATTCCGTGACGAGTGGACTGGTTGGAACCTGTTAGCACAGGTAGGCCTAAATGGAAGGGGAATATAGACTACTTGGCTGTGCTGAGAACTCTGATAAAGCACCCTTGCTGTTAGGCACCATCGAGGGGACTGGAACTCCCAGTGACCTGCACCTTGACCTCTCATGTACCATCCTCACCATCTCTGACCTGCTTGTGCCCACTGCTATAGTCACTGCACTGATCCATCTTGTTGAGGGTCTTCCCTTCTTCCTCGGACCCGCCACCCTTCCCAGCGTCAATGTCCTTTTCTAAGGACAGGGACCTCCTGACAATATGCCCAAAGTATGTTAGAGAAAGTTTCACCATCCTTGTCTCTAAGGAGAACCCTGTTTGCACTTTCTCCAAGACAGACTGGTTTGTTCTTTTGGTAGTCCTTGGAATATTCAGTACTCTTCTCTAACATAACTCAAAGGCAATGATTATTCTGTCACCCTTATTTATCCTTATATTTATTTGTAGAAAGCAACTTAAAAGACCATGTTTTGCATCAGGCTCACCTTAGTCTTTAAATGGAAAGGACTTTCGTCATTGCTTTTAGCAGTCTGGAGAAGTCTTTAACAGCAGATTAAACGGTGTGCCCAGAACTCTGAGGAATTCCTGGGAACTCTCATCAATTCTCTCCATGGATGACTAACATCCCAGACACACTCAAAGCAGAGTTTTCTTGAATGATTTCATGATCCTGTCTAATGATCTATGTTGATCTCTTTTACAAAGAACACCTGGATCAATTACATATTTCTTCTCTCTGGGCTTAGGAATGTCTTTCTAAGTGCCTATTCTGCCAATTGATAGGGGATATGAGAAAAGGATTTTCAGTTCAACATACTTCCATTGGTTTTGATGAAAAGTGTGTGCGATGAAAGGAGAATCCCTAATAAGCATTTCATAAATGACTTGTCTTTCAAACTCAATATAAAACAGAATAAAATACATTTGCCCAAGACCTCCTTGCTGCCTCTTAGATTTAACGTCCCCAGATCTCCATCAATCGGGCCCAACAACTCAAAAATCTCTAAAGATGCAATCAAATATTTATCAGCTAAAAGTTGGTAAAACTGAGAAATTATTTATGGGCCAAAATATTAAATAGTCACACTTTGAAGGGAAAGTAAGAGAGAAAGAGGGGGGAACAAGCTCATGTTGAGAGTCACATGTTTCTCCCCTGGGTACCCTCTCCTCCTGCCGCCCTGATGTGCAGCATTCAAAAGCAGGAGAAAAATCACAGGTTTGAGGAAGCGTCTCCAGGCTGGGGCATCCAATCTACGCTGGAGGAAGGACTATTTAAGGGGGGTGTGGGCCACTGGGACAAGCTAGACACCAGGAGGTGAATTCACATTGCCACAGCCAGGTGTGTCCCAGACCGCAATCTGAGGGATGTTCACGCATCCAGCCCTTGTGTTCGATGCCCACCCAGCTGGATAAGTGCAAAGCATTGAGAGGAAGAGACAAGGCTATGATGGGGTGCTCTCTTAGGATGAAAACCAAATGGCAGCCACTGAGCCAGCTTGATCTTTAGTGACCCCAAGTGTGTCAGAATAGAATTGTGCTCTGTTCCACTCTGTCCAGGGTTTTCAGTGGCTGATTTTTTTGGGAAGTTGATTGCCATGTGTTTCTTCTGTTAAGAAGCTTGGTGGCACAGTGGTTAAACCTACTCAACTGCTAATCTCCAGGCCAGCGATTTGAACCTACCAGCCACAGGTCTGTGGAAGAAAAATGTGGCAGACTGTTTCTGTAAAGATGGATGGCCTCAGAAACTCCATGGGACAGCTCCGATCCCCAAGGGTCACTGAGTTGGAGGTGAGCGGCAGTGGGTTTTTAAAGATATCCTTGGGTCAATCTGAACTGCCAACGTACCAGTTACCAGCCTCGAACTTAACTCTGTGTGCTACTCCAGGACTTCCTTCAGATGGAAAAGATTTCTTCGGAGTTCTAGTAATTTAGCTACTTACTGATGACTTAATTCTCTGTTGGATGGTATTAGTCAAGATGTTGACTGATCCCTATAGTCACACCTATAGTCTCTGCCTGGATTTACAGTCATATACAGCCAGCCCCCAGTGAAGAAACCCTCTTCAAGTTGGAGAACGTGCTGCAACATCTGATTATTAACAGTTTTACTCTTTAAAACACAAGTCTATTGTCTTTACCTCTTTCAAGACCAAAGCATTTTCTGCTTTGAATGGAAAACAAAACCAACACAACTCTGCACTTTTCAGGAATGGAAGACATGTTGAATGAAATGTTAAAAAATTTTAGATAATTGAGAATTTTGATGCAGTTAGTGTTGCACCTAAGTCCCGAGGGGTCTCTGGTGCTGGATGGAGGGATGAGGTCTGCTTCCTGAGAGTCATGCAGTTAAGCATCTGTTTCTATTGGGAAACAGATGGTAGCACACACTAAACGTGGGACAGGTATTTCCCACTAAAGTCAGGGAAGAAAATATACATGGACAACATGTGTCCCAGGGGTCACAAAAGGGCTAAAGGAATGCAGATGATGAGAAATTATGAAACAAATTTTTCCCCCAAAAGATAAAATCAACACTTTACTTCTCTCCATCTTTTTGAAGCACACAGAACACTAGAAATTCAACTTCTGTGTCCTTCATGAGAAATTGATTTTTTAATTGTACTTAGCTTTTCCCAACATTTCATTGTAAACTCTGGAAGCACACAGGGACACGGAACACATTTTACAGATTTTGCATGTACTCAAGGAGCGCTGGTGGCCTAAAGGTACCAAGCTGCACTGCCAACCCAAAGGCAGGCGGCTCGAATCCACCAGTTGCTCCAAGGGAGAAGGATGGGCAGTCTCCTCCCGTGGAATTTACTGCCTCTGAAAACCCACGGAGGGTCAGATGTCAGTTTGGTTCTGACTCAATAGCACACAACAATGTCTGTGTGCCCACTCCCTAGAGGACCTCTAGCATTTCACCACCCTGTTTTGGGACTTTCTGGGTGACACAGTTGTTGCACAGCGCTGCTAATCAGAGGCTGCAGGTTCAAGGCTTTACAGAAACATCTGGGAGGACATCTGAGTGACCAACCTCCGAAAACCAGCCAATGAAAGCCTTGTGGTCGAGTTGCCAGGCCCTAGGCACACATGGGCCATCAGGAGCCAGCATGGGCCTGCTAATTACTGTTGTGCTAGATTTACAGCGCGTGGGTCCACAGAGCCTCCTGTTCAGCTGGATGGGGATTCTGTGGTGCATTTCAAAGAACCTTGATTGATTTTAATGTTGTTTAAAAGGCCCCCAATTTTCAGCAGGAGAATTTCATTCCAACGAAGAGGACGCTTAGATTACACTTGACGTCCTGTGAGTTTATTGGTCAGCACTGACACTGATATCTCAACAAGCTGGTGTGAATCTGGTCTCAGCCGGTGGGTTAACCTATGCCGCTGCGTGGTCTCCTCTATGGCCTACCTGTGTGACTTCCGATGGGTACTCTGTGTCGCTGTGTAGTCTCCGCTATGGCCTACCTGTGTGACTTCTGGTGGGTACTCTATGTCGCTGTGTAGTCTCCGCTATGGCCTAGCTCTGTGACTTCTGGTGGGTTACCCTATGCCGCTGTGTGGTCTCCACTATGGCCTAGCTCTGTGACTTCCGATGGGTACTCTATGTCGCTGTGTAGTCTCCACTATGGCCTAGCTCTGTGACTTCTGGTGGGTTACCCTATGCTGCTGTGTGGTCTCCACTATGGCCTAGCTCTGTGGCTTCTGGAAGGCACTCTATGCTGCTGCAATGCTCCATTCTCATCTGTTACACTGGTGGACAATCCTCACAGGGTTGCCATTGTGAGGATTCAGCCTAGCAGACTAGAAGCACTTAGCACAGGACCAGACAGACAACAAATGTGTGACGGCATTTTTCCATGACTTTGCAATTAAGAGATCAAGAATCTTGTGTCTCTCCTTCGCCACTAAGCCCTTAGCCCCCGACACCATGCTTTGTAAATAAGGGATGCTGAATATATACGCTTGGGCACATAAATTGGATGGAATTTCAGAGATTCAACCTCCTGTCTCATGTGCGGAGAAAGACATCATTCTCGGTAAAGCAGAAGGTCAGTACAAGAGAAGAGTGCAATATGCCCAAAGCAGTAGCTCTGCTCATCCTATACCCCCAACACGCAATGCCCTCAATGGGGAGAACTGACTTGAGGGCCGCAACAATGGGTTCGAGGACAGCAGGGACTGTGGGGGTGGAAAAGGGCCGGTCAGGGCCTCATTCTGTTATACTTAGGGTCCCTAGAAGTTCTAAATGGCTTGGCTGCACCTACCACCAGCACCACCAATAGCAGAGGCCTACACTGACTTGAAGAGCTATCATCATGGAATTACAAGCTTCAAAGGCAATTCTGTTGTGGTCTGACTCAATGGTGCTCCTAGAATTATACAGTGGAAAACCTCCCTCAACAGGAAAACTGAACATCAATATATCGGTATCTTAAGGTTCTCAGCCTGAACAGTCAGCTGGACACCACCTATACAAGCAACAATTCCACGTGCTGACCAACGACATCTTCCTGGCGTCATTCTCATTATGACCCCCAGAGGCCATATGAAACTCCATTTCAGTATCATTATTCACCACAGACATCTCCACGTCAAGGTACTCAAAGCTTGTTTTCATTTTGAAGAACCCCCCGCCCCTTAAAATCTTGTCCTTTTTGGGATGATCTTAAGAAATCCCTTTCTGAATGAAATCAACTGTCTGCTCTCTGCAGAGGGTGTGAGGCCTGAGCCAGCTGGACACCCTGCGGGTCAGAAGCAGTCCCTCCCTGTGTCCTCATTGCTTCATACAAACACGCCTTTGCCATTTGCCGCCTGTCTGACTTACCTTGCCAACATCTCGGGGGAAGGGCTGTCTCTGGTTCTCTGGAATCAGAATTGGAGACACCACGATGGATCTCTTTTGTCTTGGGACTGGAGAAGTCCTTGCAAATTTAAATATATCCTAAAAGAGAGAATGAAAATCGATTGAGTAAAATCCCCCACGGAGAAGATGCATCAGTCTGCTCAGAGGTACAGTTCTTTTGTTGGGGAAGCATACAGCTGTTTGGACATTGTTAATTTTATTCTATCAAACCTCATTAGCGTTCGCAAGTACATTGTTAGAATCATACTAAGGCTGACATTGTGATTCACAATGACTATCATTAAGCTATTTAATCCCGTCTTCTGAATCATTCTATTCACAATGTCAGTCTTGATTTATACACCCTCCAGTGCTTGTGTATTACCTTCCTTAATCTTCCAAGGGAGCGGATTATTCACCTGGTCAGGAATGCACAGGAGGCGCTGCATATAAAAGCACTCGCTTCACGGCTGCCATCAAGGTCCTCAAACTCTCAAATGAATGAGGATGGAAGGGAGAGCACAGAGCCCCAAACCATGATGGGCAACTGGAGTCAATGTTTTTGAAAGGACCATGGGCTGCTATTATTAGTAGCGTGATGAGCTGATCTCAGAGCGCACTTCTGATTTGGAAACCATTCTCAGCTCTGAGATTTGCGCCAGTGAAGCACACACTGTTGTCATTTCTGCTAACCCACCTTAAAAATTAAAGAAATGTGTTGGAGACTTTCTATGATTATTTTCAATCAAGTACCAGGAGACTTTCCATAATACTGTGAAAATAATCACAACTCAAAACCCTAGAGTTGTCCAGTCAATTCTGATTCAGACAGACCTTATAAGGGAGCACTGAAGGCCTAGTGGTAAGAAGCTGTGTTGCAATCCCAAAGGCACAGAGTTCAAATCCACCAGCTGCTCCACAGGAGGATGGGCAATCTCCCTCGGTGTGATCCGCAGCCTCTGAACACCCAGAGGGTCAGTTCTGAGTAGGTTCCACCTTGCAGGCACCCACTGACAAGGCCCCTAGAGGAAAGAGCAGGAGCCCTGGGGGTGAGTCTGTAGGGAGTTCGTTGCCAACCCAAAGGCGCACTTCCCTGGGGGACTGGGCCCACCAGTGCCTCTCGGGAGGAAGATGGGCAGTCATGTCTCATTTCAACACACAGCCTGGGCAACTGGATAGAAAGTCACTCCAAGTGGGAACTGGCTCGACAACAATGGGTTTAAAGTCAAGACAGTACAACTGCCCCGCCAGGTTTCCAAGGCTGCCCACCGTTGTGGAAGCAGATGGCCTTGTCTTTCTATCATGGTGAAGCTGGTGGATTTGAACCACTGAGTTAACAGCTAAGTTCTTGAACTGATTCACTATCAGAGGTCTTTAAATTAAGTATATTGAGAAAATAATGTTCTAAATTCTAACTAGAAAATGTTCTTTCTCTGCAAAGTAGCTCCCTTAAGGACTCTGCTCTCTCCTTTTAAAAGGGAGATCAGAAAATATTAGAAGCTGTTGAAGAGTCATTAGCACCCAGCTGCGACCTTCTCCTTGATCAGATCAGAAATACTGAAAGAGAATTGGAAATGATACACCATTTTCAGGATATAATTCCATCTCAACTAAAAACAACTTGTCACAGAGACGAACAAAAGCAAACATCCCAAAGTTTGGGTAATACGTCCTTACAAAAATCACATAGTGAGGGTTACATGCCATACCAGTCTCTAAAACTATGTGTGTGTGTGTGTGTGTGTGTCTGCACACACACAGGAATATTTATATATCTATTTAAGTAATTTAGAGTGTAATAAGAAATTCACATAAACAAAAGAAAATAGGAGCCTAAAGCAAAGTCCAGTTATGTATAAGCAAACCCCTAAATCAAACCCATGACCGCCAAGCTGGTCCTGACTTATGCTAAGTCTCCACTGAGTTTCTGAGACTGTAAACCTTTCTAGAGGCAGACTATGCATTTTTCTTCCAAGGAGGGATGGATTTGAACTGCTTATCTTTAATTTAGTGGACCGATGCTTAACGACTATGCTACCAAGTCTCCCAAGCTTTGCACACTTTCATTATTTTGATGGAACAGTAAAAGTACAATATTTATGCCAATGTATGTCTACTTTCACTCTGCAATCTCACTCCTAGAAATAGATCCCAAAGCTAAACTCAGGAGAATAAACTGTATATGGTATTTAGTTTAGTGGGATAGTATTTATAAGGGGGAAAATGGCAAACAACCCAAGGACGAGGTTCAGTAGACTCCCTCAGCCGTAGGTATGTCTAGACAATTATGAAGAAATTTGTTGCTCTTCTAACCAGCAGGTTAACTGTATGTGTTAACTTGGCCTTGACTATGGTGTGTATGAGTCAGCAATCCAGGACGGTCCACCATCACCAACAGCGACTCACTAACAACAATACATAAGAACTGGCTCTGTGTGATTACGTGTTAGGTACTTGACACCTGTGGACTCTCATTCTTGCCGCAAACCTCCCTGGTCTTAGACTTTCTTAACCAATGGGGGAAAATATCAAGTTCGGAGAGGTGATGTCAGTGGCTTTAAGTTACCTAGCAGCGCAGAGAGCATGCACAGTCAAACACGGGGGAACTAGAGATTACTGTGTATTGAGAGCTGTGATGGTTGTTTTTATATGCCACCTGGCCCGGTGATGGTATCCTGTCTGGCCAACCCCAGCTCAGACTCTGTCAGGAAGTGAGTACATATGGTTAAGTCACACACTTGACTTTTGGAAGGCATCTTGCCCATCAGTATGTGGGTAGATTGCATCCAATTACTCAAGTGCCTTATGTATCTTTAAAAAGCAGTTTTCTTGAGGGTGTATACGGCTTGCAGACTATAAAAAAAGACATCTTGTCAGAACTCCCTAACTCTTCAATGTCCCTGTCACCTGACTGAAGGATTTGGAAATGTAATACCGAAGGAATCCCCAGTTGCTCTTCTGACCTACAGGTTTTAGACTTGTCACTATATAAAAATAGTAACATTGACAGCAAAAAAGCCAGTTCCACTGAGTCAATTCCAGTTCCTATCTCCCTGGAGGACAGAGCGGAGCTGCAGTGGGGTTTTTTCATGGTTGGAAGTCTTTTCTGAAGCAGCCTGCCACGTCATCCTTCCCCAGAGCAACAGCTGACCTTGTAGACAGCAGCCAAGTACATAATCACGACATCACTGGAGCGCCTCTGGATTTGCCAGCCCCCAACAATTGCATGAGTCAGTTTCTCCTCTGGACTTCACTAATTCTAGTTTCTTTAGAGAACCCTGACTAAGGCAGGTAGGTTCTATGTAGGTAAATGATCCCGTGAATAGAGAAAATACGTCTCAAATATTAATAAAGGAAAAAAACCCAAATACAAGACCATTTGGTTTTAGGAAGACCAAAAACTCATGATTCAGGCAAAGAGAGAAAACAGAATTCTGTTTATGTGTAAGACATTGAAAACAAAAGGACAGGAGGGGTTAAACCTGATAAACCAAAAGGTGGCATCCTCTGGTGCTTCAGACCCCTGGGCAGGCCTGGGGATGAGATGGGCAGTCTACTCCCCTGCAATTTATCATTTCTGAAACCCGCTGCAGGGGCAGCTTTGAGTTGGTTCTGACTGGACGGTGAAGAGTTAGTTTATTGTTGCTTTACTTTTTTTTTTTTAGTAACGTTATGTCAGAGGAAACCACAGTCAGTGTGTGTATTTGATGACATTTTTATGTTCCTGACTCTATCCCGGTCTCTGGATGGACTATGCGCCTCTCACCCTATTTGCTGGCCGACGTCTACCTCTCTAATTGTGGGATGTTACCAGACCTCATATGGGCTGACGTTCTAAAGTAAGTGACTATGACCATGGAGGGATGTCCACCACAGATTGAGTCCCCACCCCTCAAATATAGATCGGCTTGGCGAGGCCTTGGCTCTCGGTGCGGTGTAACTGTCCTACGTGTTGGAAGGCCTAACTTCTATGACATTTATGAGGCAAGATGAAATCATTCCCCACGATGACTGGAGACATGATCAGCCAATCAGATGTAAGGGGATCAGAGCAGGCTGCAGCACTTTCATGAGGTTGTAGCTTTGATCTGGTGAAAGGAGAGCTTCCCTGGGGTGTATCCTGAATCTTTTTGTCATGAGGGATGAAAGGAGAGAGAAGAGATACCTCAGTTCCACTGAAAAAAAAAAGGAATGCTGGCAGTGGAAGAAGTCCTTTAGACCCAGGCCCCTGCTCTGGGAACCTTCTTGATATCAGGGAAGGCCAAGACATACAGGGAGCTCCAAGGAACGTCAGGCCTTCAGATGCTAAAGGAGACAAGGACCTTCGATGGGAGAAGGCTGGCCCCCAGAGACAGCACCCTGAATCGGACTTCGAGCCTCGCCAGCTGTGAGGGAATACATCTTTGTTAAAGCCAACCCCTTGTGCCGTCTCTCAGCTCTGACTCCTAACAACGCCACCGTAAGGCAGGGTAGAGCCACCCGCACAGCTGCTAAGGCTGTGAGTTTGTGTGCAAGCCGACCGCCACATCCTTCTTCAACAGTGACTGGAGGACTGAACCACCGCCTTTAATGCACCGTGCCAAAGCTTGGTTCCCTGCACCACCAGGGAAGTGGAGATGAAAGGAGGAGGCGGAAGTCTATGAGTCATCCCATACTTTGATGTAGCTTTTTGAGTAGCTTTGAGTGATGGAGAAGTTATATATCCAAGATCATGTGAGGAGGGGACAGGAGGGAAGGGATCAGGAAATGAGGTATTAAAAGGTGGGCAGAGGCCACAGCAAAGTTAACGGGTGAGAGCAGGAGCCCGGGCAGGAGAGCGCCGAGAACTGGTGCGATGAGAGGGTGTAGGTGTGGTACATGACACAAACCTTCTCCTCAGACAGAGCCCAGGAAGGCAGCTGCCTGCGCCAGGCAGGCAGGCAGGCGGCTGCAGTGCTGTTAGGTGTCAGGGAGGAAACACAGAGGAAGAAAGAAGCGAGGACTTGGTTGTGGGAGGGAAGGAGGGAATAGAAAGGCTCCTGCCTGGAAAGGGAGCTGGGAACAGTGCTGAGCTCCAGAAGACACAGCAGAGCTGAGGAGAAGGTGACTAGCAGCCTGGG